CTCTGTAGCTAGTTTATGCTTTTTTTCAGACCATGTTTAATACTAAGCTATATAAATACTTGTCATGTACTGTATATGGTCATAAAAAATGCAAATGTAAATTCCTATATTCAAGTTATAAGATTTAAATGTTGTTATATTTTTCTGGTCCTTCAAGATTATTTAGCAGCACTTTTAAGTATTCATAATTGAGTACCGCTCAAACCGGTGCTTGAGGGTTGAGAGATGTCACGTTTTCATTATCCCTCATGTACAGAATCAATCAAACAAAGTTTGCAATTTTCATGTGACTTTGTTGTGATTAATGCTGCCAAGGGATCATCCGATTTCCAGAGTTCTAAATTAATCATTGTAACACGTATATCTATTAACTTTATAGAAGAAAAATAAAGAATTCGTTTATTTTCCTCAGTGGACATGATGAATGTTCAACGCATTTTATGAAGTCGGAGATTGTAGCAGAGAAACTAAGTTACTTTTATGAATTATATCTAAATGGTACACATCACCTCTCTGATGATACAAAAGAAGCCCTACGGATGAAAATAGATGTGAACTTTGGTGAAAAGGACCAGAAAACTGTTTATTCACTGCTTTACACTGGAGGAGGTGAGACTAAATGTTTTAATGACCAACATGTCAAATTTTCTCTTAAGAAATGCATATAAAGGCACGCGAGACTACCATGTTAAAAGTAGATAAACTTCACTTTCGAGGAATTTTCGAATTAGGGGGAGTTTATTTGTTATGTATTATATTTATTATTTAAAATGAAAACGATTTTAAAAATGTGGAAAAGCAGTGACGCCTCAGAAGCTTTAAAATAACAAAATTACATGAAAAAGCAGTCTCGGTTTGATTGAGTCTGTACATGAGGGAACAAATGCAACATGCCTCACGACCCCAGGAACCTGCTTGAGCGGTACTAAATTTTCAACACTTAATGTGCTGGAATCAATGATCCCGAAGGACCAGATGATTATAACACTGAAGTGAAATAGGGGCAACTTAAACGGCACTTTTTTCTGAAGGAGACTAAATGAAAAGCTTTGTTTTTTATTAAATATATTATATATAAATGATGGCTGTCTTTAAAACATTAAATCCTTAAAACATTATTGAACACCACAGGCATCAATGCGTTTCTATAGTATTTCAAAAATGTTTTAAACAATGCACTTTGAAAACATGACATATATTTTTACTTTCTTTTAGAAGGGAATATATCCCAACCCAAGCTATGGTGTGGATTACGTGACGGTATAATCAAAGTTTACAACGCTTTGACATGGCTGTTAGATAGAGTTATATACCTCGAACCCAGAAATGCATGCATAGTAAGCTTATTTGATAATATTGTTATTGAATACAGCATATACATGAACTATAAATTAAACAAAGATTATATACATTTATTTATAGAACGATTTTTTAATTTACATTTTTTATCCAATGTTCTTAAACAGACGTTAAGTTAATTGAACTAATATGATTTTTGTTTTAAAATATATTCGTCTTTATCAAATAAAGCAGTGAAGTTAAAAATGCATTTTATCTATTTTAATATAAAAGCGATTTTTTCATGTAGTGATAGCATAAATGGAAGCTTGGGCAAACATAAGTTGCCTTGTTAAAACGTTACTGATTATGTTTGTTAACTTTGATATCGTTTATGTGTACTCTATGGGCTGCCTTACCCCGGGTTGATAAAAGTCATTTTGGGGGCTCTGCTTATTCCTATGACGTAAAAGTCACAAAACTTTTACTGGGACAATATTTAACCCCTGAACAATTTTGTATAGCCGTGCGATGTAAAAGGTATTTTTAAAATTTTATATTAAATCGAAATTTTAAAAGGGAAATAGCAAGAATAAAGGTAAACTTAGGGTTAGATATAAATCTGAAATATTTTTAAAAAATAACTGTTTTTGTAATTGGCGTAAATGCATACAATGAATTAATTTATTACATTCCATTGCCGCTTTTGCTTTTATATTCGTATAGGTTCATCACTGAATTTATTGAACTCGTTTATATAATGCTCACCAGAGGTTCGCTTAATAATATTTTATTCAACTTGTTCAATTAATTTAGTATTGAACTTACACTCATACAATATTCTCTATATGTTTGTTGCATATAAATGTAGTCTATGGAAGTTTTACAAAATTATAAAGCTTATCAGCTTCTTGATACGTACCTATAACAATAGATACATATAGATATAGTTCTATTTACTTATCTGTCATTTCTGTATATTGTTCTTTGGTTTTGCTAACTGTAGACGTTACTATTTCAGAAGCGTGTATACGGCAAGCCTCGACGGGACTATAATCAGATGGAATTTGCAAAATTTGGCCGAAGATAGAAAGAAAATAAATCTTAAAACTGCTATCACATCCATTAAAATATTCAAAGACAGACTAATATGTGGTACTTTTGCTGAATAACACACATTCGCAAGAATAATTTCGTTGCAAAGTCCTGTTTAATATAAATAATTAAAAACGCATAAGAGCTAGTTGTTATTTTGTAGTTTTTTTTTAAAGATGATTCTTAAATAGCTTAAGCAATTAATTTATACATCCCTATCATAGAAGGTATACAGTTAAAGAAGTAAATTTAGAAATAAATGTTACGGAACTTAGAATAAATATTTAACTATGAAAAACAAACCTTTGCCATATAACACTATATAATACTCCCATAATTAAATATCAGTATACGCCGACAGATTATATTTTGAATTTAATAAGTTAGTCTGAAATACATAGATTACATATTGTTTAAAACGGGTCCTGCATTCTTTTTTCAGGAGGCTTTTCAAGTCTACTTATATGTGATCTAAATGCAACTTTACTTAAGACATTGACTATAACCGAGGACGGTGGCGTGACGGAAATAAGTTGTTTCCACAATCTTGAAAACGGTGAGGTAAGTATGGTTGTTTTGCCTTTCACTCGCACCGATGAGGTCAAATGCTAACTTCATGTCAGGAAAAAAGTCCTCCTTCCTTCGTGGGGTTTACTATGGATTAGATTTTTCCTAGTACACTCGTTCAGCAATAAACTGTTATGAAGTGACACCACTGAGGTTTTTTGACATGATGGGCTGATATTTTTCCACTATCTGTGTACTATTTGATATAGGTCTGCACTTATAACTCGTGTGCAAATTTCAAATAATTCCCTTGCCGCGTTTTCCCAGAATAATCAGTTTCATTGTTCAAAATAACTCAAAAAAGAAAAGCGTTGCAACACTTTTCACTCAAATTGAGCGAATGATATCAATGTCAATTTCTTTTTTATCCTTTGCAGATTTTTTCTATTTCAAGTGCTTCACTTGATTCGGTAAAAAATTCAAATTTTATGTTTTAATACTTTGTCATCTCAGTGGAGTTTCATCACATGGTCATTTCTATTATTTCAAAAGTTGTACAATTTACAACAATAACTGTGTGGTTAGAGTCACCTTATTTATTTTTCATATAACTATACTTCATAAGAACGGTTTCCACACATATTACAAGCATACATATTAACATACGTATTAAGTATTCGTTCATTAAGTTTGTAAAGTCTAACTATATATTTATATTATAGGTATGGGCTGGCACAAGACATGATGGCAAGATACATGTATTTGATATTTCAACAGGGCATGTGAAACATGTAATATCTATTCCAAATTGCCGAGGAATCAGTAGCATTAATGTATTTGATGACAAGGTACAGTATACTTTGTTTTTCGCTGATAGTATTTACTTCATCTTTGAGTAATGTAATATGAAATGTTTATGAAATAAGTGTATATTACATAAAGTATTTAGATATCAACACACATGTGCACGTGATTGCAAGTCTTTCACGTGTTGTCTCTTACTAAAAACTTATGACAAGTGTGTGTGTAGTCTATGTTTAATGAGGGTCCATCCGCATGTAAATGCACAAAAGCTGTCGAGTACGGACCTCGGACATATAATATCACCAGAGTTAATTTTGAAACACAAAGTGGTGATAATTTACCTCCATGCAATTTCACGTAGTACTAGCCAAATATATGAACTTTGAGCCTAAAGTAGGTCACTGAGAGCCTAAATGTACAGTTACCTGAGACAATAATGAAAGGAGGTAGCACTTAAAAGGGCTTTTGGTGCCAAGCAAAGGGCCTGCCTTACAAGCCGTCGTTCGTACAAGGGGCTAACACACCCTAGTACACCATCCTCGTCGACGCTGCCTACCTAGACGGGCCACTCCTCTCGGCTTTAGTCAGGACACCGGCAGTTTACTTCATGCAAGCTAAGTCGTCCTGCCTTACACGTAACTCGGAGCTGTAGAAAACATGCAAACTTAACGTCTTACACGTTGCATTGGTTCTTCAATCATCTGCCGATGTTCTGTGTCTTCTCAACGATGTACATGTATCGAGGGGAAGAGAGAAGACTTATGACGAGTTACAAATCGTAAAACTTATATGATAAAATATTGATGTTTGCGTTAGTTATCAGAGAACAGAACATATCTTTATGAACTCAAGTCACATAACCAACACATGAGTATTATAAATAAAAACAGTGGTACGAGTATATTATGTAGATTTACACATGACATGGTTTAATATTTCTGCACACAACAACATTTTACCAATTTACAATGCATACATTATTTATACTATTTTAGATTTGATTAAGAGATAATATGTATATTTCAGATCTGGGCTGGTTTAAAACACGGCGAAATTTATATATATTTTGTAAAGGATTACAGCATTTGGAAACAATTACAGGGACATGAAGATGCAGTTAAAGTTTTGTATAACATCAGAGAAAGGTAATGTAACATGCTTAAAAATGTCAAGTTAGAATTACACATAGAAACAACAAATGAACGAAGCAAAATACGTAATAAAGTAAACCGCAAAGCTAGTTTTAGTATTTTAGTATTGTACCTGTTCTAATAAATTAATAAAACATCTCGTGATGGGATCATTTGATGATTCCACATTTCATGTTGATCGTTATTTTCTTACAGTATAAGGCAAACTAATACGATAAATATACTCTACAACGTAACCTGATACCAATAGGCATACAACTGTGTGTAATAAAACTTTGAAAGTGTTTTATCTTACAGAAGTAAACAAAATAACTCATATACATTTAAAATCAGTATCGATTTATTTATTTATTTACTTATTTATTTATTTGACAAGAAAAGAAGTTTAAGTTAACACGGTCTAAAGCAAACACGATTTATCACAAATTATAAAAGACATGTTGCGATCTTGTGTACGATTCTAATAAATCCGATGCATTTTATGCGGTCACTTCTATGTCAATAGGGCTTTCACATACTAGTAAATACCATTACAAAATTGTCCGTACTAGCGAAGAGTAACAATTTTAACAAATGATGATAAGTCTAAAAACTTACTATATCCAATAATCTTGAACATTTCTCTTTCAACAATGTTCGAGCTACCGCTTAAGCGAAAAGTTATAACTTATTTTATTTTGCTTGCATTTCCTTGTTAATAAAGGAATCAAAATTGTTTGAATCACATAAGGATCTGATCAGTCATGAAATTAAATGCAAAGAAAAAATTAAAATTATTTGTAGCATTATTAAGCTCTTATATCTGTCTGTCTTTAGTATGGATATAAATAACGAACTCACGGTTGCATAACAGTACAATCTTTTATTTTCGTTTACTTTGTGTGTGTTTTTTATCTGCTTAACTATCAATCTCATCAGTAATATTTTAAACCTCATTTCAGTAACGACGTTTTGCACAGTTACATGATCTCCGGCGCAGGCAGCAAAGATGGCCGTGTCTGTATATGGAATGCTAATGAAGAGACGCTGTAACATTTACGTGTCTTTCTGTGACTTAAATGTACTGATCACGTGCCGCCAAGTGATCACGTGATATCTTGATGTATCTTATAAGAATGTTGAGAAGTACATCTAAAAGAGCGTTCGAGGCCGATGGTTAAGGTCGTTGACTTCAAACCACTTTCTCCTCGACGCTGTGTGTTCGAATCCCTACTGGAACTTTGGATTCTTTCATGTCAGGAACCTATCCAGCTTGATTACGAACGTCAGTAAAGCTGGAACGTCGCCAAATGACCTATACTGTGTCGATGGCACGTAAAACCCAATCAAAAAAACAAATAAAATATATTAAATTGCTGATGAGTATTAATGACTTGAGTTTTTTTTTATCTCAATCAACAAGCAAAGTGTCTGTATTTTTATTATTATCAATATAGATCTGACAAATTTTGTTCATCAGATTTTGATATGATTCGCGTTGTTCGTTACATGCATTTTTCGTTATATAAGTACTGAGCAATATTTATGTACCATAATATAGACAAATAAAATATAGCAGCCATTCTCACAAACCAATATTAAGATTTAACTCATGATAAGTTGTAAGTCTTGTGTGAAAATTGATATATCGTAAGATTTCTTCTACTATAAATTTATCATAAGATTTTTGCAAAAATGGCTGCAAAATGCTGCAAATTTTTATGGTTGTCAATGTCTATAAAAGTGGTATGTTCCATATTTTAGCAGAGATGCTCTATTTTTAATAAGTGGATTTATGTCATTTGGCATACATTCTGGTAACTTCAATATGAGGTAACAAATAAAGGGTGAATTTTTTGACATTACTTGTTATATTAGGCATCTATATTGATTAGAAGATGGCAAAACTCCTTGTTAGATATACAGTTGAGATTCACCAATGACATTAATATATTAATCTATAAGATTAGTTTAATGTTAAAAATAATGGTTTCAATAAATATGATATACTTTAATTGGTTATCAATTGTGTCGACTTCCGAAACTATTTTTACTAAACTAATTGAAATGTATTATGAAATACATGTAGTATGCATTTTTTTAAAAATAATGTATCTCTTAAAACTGCTTGTATGTTTTTTCCTATCTTTAGTTTAAAACTCAAAAGAGAAAACATAGCTATACAGAAAAGGGCGTATTCATTTGCTCAAACTTTGCTACAGCTACGTAGAAGCAAGATATCTATGTAATTTAATAAGATTACTTATCTAGAAAATGGGATACCTTTATGATAGTGCATTCTATCTGTTTACAAATGTAGCAATTTTGAAAACTTTATGCTCACGTTAATTATTATACTGTCGTAAATAAAACTTTTGTGATGCGTTATTGCTTTCTTCGCCAAATAAAGAAATAAAACGAAAATAAAATGTCTCGTTATCTTTTTTGAAATGACAACTATTGTAAGAAATTATTCGTATAAACATTATTTAATGTTCTGTTGGGGAAAATGATATGAGGTTACAAGGTAATATTGCATTAAAATAAATTAAGATGTTTCAGAGAAAATTCATTTCACTATAAGTAAACTTTCGGGATTTTGGTGTGTGTGTGGGGAGGGGGCGGTGGTGGGATTGCGTGCACGCCCCCGCGCGCGCGCGCGTGTGTGTGTGTGTGTGCGTGTGTGTTTCACCTATCGGGGTCAGTGTGTCAGCTGAACAAATGCAAAGTGAAGTACATTGTAAGGTAGGACAAGGTTAGCTTTTAAAAAAAGCTAGTAGCGACTCGCTTCGTAAATTTTTTCCAGGGGTGCGTTTAAATGTAAAAATGACAGTTCTGTTAGCTGAAGAGACTTCAGCGAACATCAAAATAAAAGTGACATAAAGTTATGGAAGCCAGTTCTCTCAGTTTAAGAAAAAGGAATATGAGTATATATGAAGATGCATGTAAACAGATAGAATGAAGTCCCTATGTCTATGTACATTTACTGTATGGCCTGTTGACCTTGACCAAATAAATGTTAGATAGGTAGAATTCATAAATATGTCTCTTTAAACGAAGTTAGGTCGTAATATGTTATTTAGTATTGGAATGAGTAACAGACTCAAGTCCTAAAGTAAACACAAGTTGTCTATCAATTCAGCCACAAAAGCCGGGATCCTATCAAAAATATAGGAACCCCGGAAATTGACCAGTCTAAGATGTTTTTCAGATAAGCCGGGATCCTATTAAAACATATAAGGATCCCGGAAATTGACCAGTTCAAGAATTTAGTTTTCAGAAAAGCCGGGATCGTATTAAAATATAAAGAGATCCCAGGAATTGGCCAGTTCAAGAATATAGTTTTCAGAAAAGCTGGGATCGCATTAAAACATAAAGGGGTCCCGGGATTTGACCTATTCAAGAATGTAGTCTTTGATTTTTCCAATTAATTAGGCATATAATAATAAGTATTGTGATTTCCGCATTTTAAGTTTGTTAATAAATAGCTCTAAATATTTTATATCCTAAGTTTAATTAATTTAACGTTCATAACATACATTAAAAAAACTTAACGTTTAATGGCCTTTCATTACGACAATATTATAATCAACACAAATATAGTTTATTAGTTTTTCCGCTATATCTTATACGATCCCGGATCCCGGCGAATCCGGGGCGTCCCGGATCCCGGCCTTAATACCGGAAAGGATTAAATGACCGGAAGGAAAAAGAAAAAAATGCACAGAACCAGATGTACACTTATGTTAATAAACCAAACGAAAAATTACTACAGAGGAACATGTGAAATCGCGAAATTAAAAGTCAGTGTAAATATGATTTATTGAAAAGAATTCATGAAAACAAACATTTTAATCATCATTATATCTTTGCGCTCAAAATAATACTTGCTGCTTTTTAAAAATGGCGTGAAAATTGAAGGTTTTTAGACGCTATGTAAGATTAAATTTGATTGGCTATATAATTTTGGATCCTAGCCCAAATAGATAAATTTTGTAGAAAGCTGGAAGCCAAGCTTCGATTACATTTTTGGATGGATTCGGAGTTTTAGGTTGTTTCTCAGTAAAATCCTAACGTAATACCGGCTCGCCGTGGCGACATTATTCTTCCCTCCTAAACATATTAGGTTTATGAGCCTAGGGTAGTATAGACATTAAGTTTAGTGACAATATGTGTAACAACATGGAAAATAGTAGGCACGGTATTGATATTGAGGTTTTCAAAAAATTTGCAGTCAATTTTGAACCTATTACCTGCTGAATTTGTGCAAAATGAATTTGGAACAGTCCTATTAAACCTTTAGGGATTTCAATGGCAATGTACAAAGGTAGCGCTACTATCATCTACACAAAAGTGAAGGCAACAAGTACTGTTAAACTGCCGGACATCCAAACCGAGGGACGATTCGATGGCTTAACTGTGCTCTGGTGAATTTTATGACGTGATAAACTATCAATAACACCACCGTCATCTCAACAATTACTTTCGCACATTTTGTAATTTATAGTTAGCATTAAAGTATCATTATTACATAGTTCAATTCCATCATTTAAAAAAGAGTTATATATCATTTTACCGAAAAGATCCAATGCATGCCTTACAGATATATCTGTGTGATTTAGACAAACAAATTAATTTAAGAAGCGTGCAAGAGCAGCTTTAAACATAAACCGTATCTTAATGCGGACAATAACACCTCAATTCGTACCTTGTAAATATGCAGAACATATAATCAACATTTGTTGATCTGTTATTTAAAGCCCCATTATGCCCCCAGAATGTTTTTATTTTTGTATCTCAAAAGCTCTTCTTTATTTTCGGTGTCATATTATAGTTTTCAAACATAAGTCATTGGCTAATTACATGAACCATCTTTTGCTTCTGTTGTCTTTTGGCAATAAGGAGAGTTTAGTGATATATATTGTATTAAAATCAAAATACTACTTTCTTTACATTTTGCCTCTTTTATAACGAATAATTTTCAAGTCAGCGCTACTTCCCTCAGGTAATAAGCACCTTACATACATTTCAAAGTAATGAAACTCATTTTTGCATCATCTAAATAAAGAAATATTGATTTTGTTTCTGAGGCATAATGTGCTTTTAAATTTAGATCTTTTCTTAAATAAAAACAGCGCTTTGTAAAACGGCAATGACTCCATCAAACAAGACATGCATTTAGTTTTATTAGTGAGTGTTTGGCAACCTTTAGGGTTTCATTCTTGCGAAGCATCTGTTTCTATTTACATAAGAACTAGTGCAAATTATGAAGAAAAGAAAGGCATTCTTCAGTGGTTATATAGGCTTACAAAACTAAGCCAGAGTTCTAGCTATATGTCATTGAGTATGATATTTTTGTGATTGATTTTCCAGGTAACATTTTGTAGGCTTTTTATGTTCAAACAGTATCGTGTAACACAAACCTATTACCTGAGGAATCTTAAAAGTATCTTTATGACCGAACTAATTACTTTTGTATTCTATGTTAATAATTATAATAACATTACTTACTTTTACAATGTCTGAAAACTAAAACATACACTGGATCAAATTTGATGTTTCAATTACATCTTTTAGAGAATCGCCATCATATACTGGATTTAAGTTGAATTTTCAATTACACTTCTATACTCCTACGTATAAAAACTTCGTATAAAAACTTCAACTTTTGTGTGCGTAAACAAACAAAAATGAAGATGCAATAAGGGGTTATTCCGATGTTTCATTTATTTCTGCTTTTTCTGCTATTTACCTGTTTGTTGATTATAGTATTTCCTGTATAATACATTTATATGAATGCATACCCATTTAAATGTCCAATTTCATAAGCTTGAAATATTACATTTAGTGTGCTAAACTCAAACACAAGCTTCTCTTTGTCTGCTTTTAGCCAGTCATGTTATTTTAGTTTAAAAAAAGGGATGTTGTTTAGCTTGAGATTAATAAAAAGAAGAAAAACTAACAAACAAACTCACATAAAAACGCTGTCAAAATGTACAATTTTACTTTTTACATCAATAAATACCCCAAGATGCAGTTCGTCAAATTTGGCAACTTCTGTGTATCATATGTATTTTGTAAGCATTCATTTGACATACATATAAAACGCGTATTTGATTAAAAACATGCACCGGAAATGACGAAACGAGCTAGTGGTCGCTATATTGACCCACTATTGGTATAGAAGACCTTTGGGTAGATTTTGCATTCCTACGTTGCTATAAAAAATCTTTGGTATATATGAGACGCTAGTGCAAATAACAATTTTATACCGACCTAGTTCTCATTTACAGTTTCGTATGAAATAAAAATAGATCGGACGATTTAAAATAAACTTATTTGATGTGTAGTTGACTAAATTATGTAAAATATGATATCTTGTAAAAGCCTCTATTCAATACAGGTAATTTGCCGTGTCTAGTTCAGGTATTATCAATATAAACATCTAGTATATATTTTGTACGTTATTTACATTTTCATTTGGAAAAAAATATATCTATGTGAGCACTTAATATTTGTTTTTAAACTAAATGATATTTGAAAGATTCGTTGCCGGAAAAGTTTAAAGGTTTGAAAAAATGGAAAATATTAAATTATTTTGCACGACAAATTGGATAAATATTACTGCTGGTTTAGCAATAAGTGTGACGACGATATTTATAGTCCGGAAAATAAGGAGCAGAAAGAAGAAAAGGTAGGAAATAATCTTTAAGTTATTTTATTTGTTCATTTTTTATTTATCCTTTTAAACTGTTTTGTTTTTACTTCTTTTATATGGGAATGGAATGTTACAGTTTCAAATGAATCAAAATTGCCAGCAGATATTTGAAGAAAGTTGCTCTGTGATTTTAGAAAAAAAGTCAACAAGGCATCAGCAAATGTAACCACTACCCATGCATTTCAAAAAAGAGACAGAGAAAATCAAAGGCAGTCTCAGTTTATCACCATTAATTATCACCATAATTATTTTTGGCAGATAAGATGAGAAAATGTCCCTATGAAGTTGTAGTTTTATCGAGCACACAACATTTGCATTAATTGTGATCGATTTATCACTTCTCTCATTAACTTCACAGAGTAGGTTTTGCTCCAGTAATATGTTTATTGTGAGAATAACGATGTTTACATATTTTTCGTGCGCTACGAAATGAATGTCTTTCATATTTTTCATATCTAGGCATTTTATGATTAGCTGTCTGGTGATAGAATTAACCTATATTCATAATATATTTTTTGTGAATGTTATTTTTGTTTTCCTAACTTATGAATTCAATGTCAAATATTTTATTGTAAAGAAATAGAACCAGGTCCCTAATAGTCAAATATCGTATAAACACAAAGTTTAGACGCTCTAAATAGTCGGTTGACGAAGCTCAAACTTAAGACCAAAAATATTTTGCAAAATCAAATCCATTTGGATTAGGTAAAACAAAATCATAAATCATATATCACAGGCAAGAATAATTTACGATAATACTTCACAAAAGTACATAAAAAACAACAGCATTTAGTTAAGTGACCACAATTACGAATTGGGAGATTTGTAACGTAGTGGTGAAATTGTCAGACTCAAAACTAAGACATCTTGAGCTCGAGACCGACTAGGATCAATTCGATGTTGCCTCATACGGCACAATAACTGGTTAATTACAGGAAGTGGAACTAATGTAGTTCAAATAAAAGATTATTATTTTTTTCATCATAATCTAATTAAAATGATCATGTTCAAACTGTAAACTTTATATCAATTCTATGTAGCAATTATCTTATATATTTCACAGGGTATGTGGAATAGACTACCCGGCGAACACTGTCATATTACATCAGTTTGAGAGAGGAAAAACTGCACCGAGCGTCGGCCACTTTGTTATGAAACTAGAGACATTTCTCAGGGTCAATAAAATAACTTATCAGGTAATAGTATTCAATTTTAACTTGTTTTGATTGCATCCGATCACCTCAATTCAATGCTTTTGTTTTCAAGCGACTGGCTAAAGGGATATATTCTATGGCATGACATGTTAAAGTACTGTTTTATCTAAAGGATCCGAATAAAAATATAGTCAGTATGTATTGTTTCTTTCAAGCGATTGAAGAAGATATTATGCTTATAAAATATATTTCAAATCATACCATGTTTAAGTAATGGATCATGGTTTTATCAAATAGTTTCGAGTAAAACTATAGGCGGTATATACATGGTAACCGGATGTACAGAATAGTCTTTGTTTCACGTGTATAATGTGACAGTGATAATAGTTGGAAAGTCATCACTTTACTGAAGGATAGATTATAATTATTTCTTCTCGACTTTAAGCTTTACTATCGCATTTTTTTCTATTTTATTAACATACACTATATTCATAAAATCAAACATTGCCTATTTGTTTAAAGCATCGGTAATTTTATACCGACCTAGTTCTCATTTACAGTTTCGTATGAAATAAAAATAGATCGGACGATTTAAAATAAACTTATTTGATGTGTAGTTGACTAAATTATGTAAAATATGATATCTTGTAAAGCCTCTATTCAATACAGGTAATTTGCCGTATCTAGTTCAGGTATTATCAATATAAACATCTAGTATATATTTTGTACGTTATTTACATTTTCATTTGGAAAAAAATATATCCATGTGAGAACTTATTTGTTTTTAAACTAAATGATATTTGAAAGATTCGTTGCCGGAAAAGTTTAAAGGTTTGAAAAAATGGAAAATATTAAATTATTTTGCACGACAAATTGGATAAATATTACTGCTGGTTTAGCAATAAGTGTGACGACGATAATTATACTACGGAAAATACGGAACAGGCCGAAGAAAAGGTAGGAAATAATCTTTGTGTCATTAGATTTGTTTATTTCTTTTATTTATTCTTTTAAACTGTTTTGTTTTTTATTCTTTTATATGGAAATGGAATGTTGCAGTTTCAAATGAATCAGAATTGCCAGCAAATATTTGGAGTAAGTTGCTCTGTGATTTCAGAAAAAAAGTCAACAAGGCATCAGCAAATGTAACCACTACCCATTCATTTCAAAAAAGAGAGAGAGAAAATCAAAGGCAGTCTCAGTTTATCACCATTAATTATCACCATAATTTTTTTTGGCAGATAAGATGAGAAAATGTCCCTATGAAGTTGTAGTTTTATCGAGCACACAACATTTGCATTAATTGTGATCGATTTATCACTTCTCTCATTAACTTCGCAGAGTAGGTTTTGCTCCAGTAATACGTTTATTGTGAGAATAACGGTGTTTACATATTTTTCGTTTGCTACGAAATGAATGTCTTTCATATTTTTCATATCTAGGCATTTTATGATTAGCTGTCTGGTGATAGAATTAACCTATATTCATAATATATTTTTTGTGAATGTTGTTTTTGCTTTCCTAACTTATGAATTCAATTTCAAATGTTTTATTGTAAAGAAATAGAACCAGGTCCCTAATAGTCAAATATCGTATATGCAAAAAGTTTAGTCGCTCTAAGTAGTCGGTTGACGAAGCTCAAAGTAAAGACCAAAAATAGTTTGCAAAATCAAATCTATGGAATTAGGTAAAACAAAATCATAAACAATATATCACAGACAAGGATAATTTACGACAATACTTAACAAAAGTACATTTAAAAAACAACAGTATTTAGTTAAGTGACCACAATTACGAATTGGGAGATTGGTAACGTAGTGGTGAAATTGTCAGACTCAAAACTAAGACATCTTGAGCTCGAGACCGACTAGGATCAATTCGATGTTGCCTCATACGGCACAATAACTGGTTAATTACAGGAAGTGGAACTAATGTAGTTCAAATAAAAGATAATATTTTTTTCATCATAATCTAATTAAAATGATCATGTTCAAACTGTAAGCATTATATCAATTCTATCTAGCAATTATTTTATATATTTTAAAGGGTTTGTGGAATAGACTACCCGGCGGACACTGTCATATTACATCAGTTTGAGAGAGGAAAAACTGCACCGAGCGTCGGCCACTTTGTTATGAAACTAGAGACATTTCTCAGGGTCAATAAAATAACTTATCAGGTAATAGTATTCAATTTTAAGTTGTTTTGATTGCATCCGATCACCTCAATTCAATGCTTTTTTGCAAGCGATTGGCTAATGGGATATATTCTATGGCATGACATGTTTAAGTACTGCTATATCCAAAGGACCCGAATAAAAAAGTAGTCAGTATGTATTGTTTCTTTCAAGCGATTGAAGAAGATATTATGCTAATAAGATATATTTCAAATCATACCCATGTTTAAGTAATGGATCATAGTTTTATCAAATAGTTTCGAATAAAACTAAAGGCGTTATATACATGGTAACCGGATGTACAGAATAGTCTTTGTTTCACGTGCATAATGTGACAGTGATAATATCTGGAAAGTCATCACTTTACTGAAGGATAGATAATCATTATTTCTTCTCGACTTTAAGCTTTACTATCGCATTTTTTTCTATTTTATTAACATACGCTATATTCATAAAATCAAACATTGCCTATTTGTTTAAAGCATAGTTTAATTGAATACACTGTAAGCACGATATCAATTACTTTAAAAGCAAATGTGTTTTAAAATTACAGTGTGGAATTAGATCTTTAATTGCGATACCGTTTGTTCAATTATTCAGAGCTTAAAATAAGAAAAAATCTCACCCTAAAAAAAAACAAAAAAAAAAAAACGTAAGTAAAGGGAAGAATCAATAAGAAGGTAAATCATCCAGGGCACGTGAAACACGTGCAAATTATTAGTTAACTAATCACCTCCTCGTATCAAAGCGAGCATTTCTTTGTTTTTAAGCCGACATAATTACAGAACGTTCAGCTTTTTCGAATTGAACCCAGCATATACAGTTCGAGTTAGAGCTATACGCTTAATTCATTTTAACAAGTAGTAAAATTATTATGGTTTTATTTCTCACTACACAATATTAAATACAAAATGAAATAATTTGTGGTATTTTTCGCAATTCGGTTGGCGTCAATAGATTAAGACTTGATTGCTCACAATGAGAAAAAGAGCATGTAATTAATTTAACAGACTTATGATATTAGTTTTGCTGCTTGCATATCGCATGATTCTTGTAAATGAAAAATATACAATAAAGCAGAATGTGCGGACTAAAATTTCAAATAAATGTAATAATATATAATATAATATGCATGTAAAGTAACTTAGTAAACAATGTGTAGTATACCCATCAAAATAACTTATAAGATAACCTATATTTTATATCAATAAAAGTAAGGTATTGACAGTAAGGTATAGGTCAACATTACGGCTGGCTGCACAAGAACAGATTTAAATGATATAATTCTGACAGCTTACTTAAGAGACCATACTTACTTTTTTTGTCATGATGGGAAATTTTTGTCCACGATAAATGCTCCATTTGATGTAGAAAAGTAAAATAATAAGTAAAATCTATTCATTATAAGGCATTAGCCATGTCACATCTTTCTGTCACGAGTTAGCGTCCCGCATATGAAGATCTGATCAAGTTAATTTCCATCTAGCGCCGTTTTCTCTCTCTCTCTCTCTTCCTTTTGAATTGCACTATAGTGCCCTTTTCAATTTTCATGTTTTATCTTCGTTTCTTTACTAATATTTTAATATAGATTGACATCTGTTAGCTTATGCAATATGTAAATAGTTTTTCAAAAGTGTGAGATTAATATCTGATAAAATATACCCAACATTAGAGCAGCAAAGTACTTTAATATCATGAATTTGTATGTTTGTTTTGTATGAACATTGATGCGGGACCAACATAAATGAATAAATAATTAAATATGTACATGATGTATGAAAACATAGATTATCAACATTTTATATACGTACATTACGGTTACATATGAATTGTTTATTATCATTATTAAAACTTTCAAAATATGCATTAAAAGTGTTAAACCCAAATACTTGATGGCATGTGAAAAGCGTTCTAGTTATACATGTATGAATAATTAATTTTCATGGAAACTATTCTATTACTTTTTACATTTTCTCAAGTTATCACATCTTTCAGCACTTGAAATAAAGAAACACTAGTATCAATTGTTTTTGTATACTATACAATGATGCAATCAAAACATCATTTTTAAAAACGCAACTATTATGTTAGTTTAGTTTATACGAAATTATTTTAGTTCTATAGTGTTGGAAGTTGTAAGCTTACTGAAACACTCTCGAATCCGTTCCTGGAAACAACCAGTACGAAGCAATGAGTGTTAATGTTCTTGCTCACGGAAACAACGGCTCACCCCTGACGGAGTTTGAACCCGTGCGGCCAGATAACTAGTCCGGTGCGTTAACCATTCGGCCATGCCGCCACTTTAATGTTATTAATAAAGAAGTAATCTTCCCTTTTTGCAGTCGGATTTCAACTTCCGCAATGGACCAAAAGGAAAGGTTCCGTGGATTGAGTACAATGGTACAACGATGGGTGATTCACACATGATAATTGAAATGTTGAATAAGGAATTTAAAATTGACATGGACAGTCATTTGTCAGAGTACGAAAAAGCAGTAGCCTGGGCTATTCAGAAGTGGATAGAGGAATATATGTATTGGTTAGTATAATGTTTAAAATGATGTTAGAATTTGTTGGGATTTTGGTGTGTTTTTTTTTAATAATCGATTTTTGTGCGCAACTATCTTGACGTATAAATCAAAACTTGTTAATACTTTTCCCTTTTTAGCAAATGGCACAAAAGCTTTGCTAAACTCTTAAAAACCTACTTTAAAATAGCAGCATAGTTGTTTTTTCCCGGAACAGTTTATTCTGTTTACGCACAGTTTTCACGTGCGTTTAATAAGAGAAACATTCTGTGTTGGAACTCTTTCGAGAATCAACCATAAGTTTATGAAAACAACATAATTTTATCAACGATTTTTAAATAACATGTATATCAAAAGAATTTATTAAAAATAGTATAGCTTCATACCATTCAACATAAGTTTAGACAGATGTAATGTTAACATAAAGCAAAAGAACCTTTGTTCAGACAGATAAAATGTTAACATGAAACATTTCTAGTAATTGTTTAGACAGATGTCATGTTCACATATAATATATCGAGAAATGATATTTAAATTATCTTTGCAATTTACCATTTAGTTAACATTTTCATTCGATGACTATTTTCATGTTAAAATCAATTAAAATCAACAGGTTAAATGTTCACACACGATGGGTTATATTGACTTCCGAAATGTTTGAAGAAGGACTTGCTAATTTTTCATCAGCATTAAAGCCTTTGATACGGCGAAAAGCTTTGGATATGACGTTTAAAGTAGGCATTGGTCGGCATAGCAACAGTGAGGTGCACGACCTAATGGTGAATGACCTCCGAAAATTTTCACAACTCCTTGGTAAAATTTTACATATTAATTTATGACAATAATTATATAACCTTTCTTTTATACAGCATGCATGATTTAAATCAACAGTCCTAAGAAAAACTGTACTTTTCTCAAAATGGACAGCGTGTACGCTTGAAACACACCCTTTTATATTCAAAAGCAATACTTTATAAGTGAACCGAGGATAACTTCATTCCATAGGGCATGTACAACAATTAAAATATAAAATATGTCCATTTTCATTCAGAAAACTAGTAAAATTTAATTCTTTATTAAAGGAACTCCACTGAGGTCCAAAAAGCCTAACACATTAAGTTTGAATTCTATACAAAGATCAACTTGGGCACTTTAAACAGAAAGATATGAAAAAGTGAAAAAGATATTTAAGAATACACTCAGAGAAAAAGAAAATCGTATTTTTGTGCTTGTCTTAGCTGATATGAGCGGAAAGCCTTGCAAGTTTTTCGATGTTTGGTCATTTTTCAAAATTAGAATATATATTCTGAAAAAACGGATCCGGAGTGAGCGAATGATTTTGAAATTTTGCACAAAAGTTGCTTATCTAGACCTACATCACATGTTAAAAAACCTCAATGGAGTCCCTTTAAAAGCAATGTGTTACTCTCCTGAATGAAACTGGTTTTCATCTTAATTTTCCTTGTATGTTTTCGGATTTTTACTTATTATTGCAAGACTTTCTTTAATAACTTATATATCATTAATAGTAAGAAAATTAGAAACAAGTTGCTGTAAGACTTTTTTAAACAACGTATCTACCATTAATAGATAGTAAATTTGAAATAATGCTCTTTGTGTGCTGCAGGGAACAAAAATTACATAATGGGAGACAAAATGGCTGTCGTAGACTGTGCAGCATTTGGAATACTTTCACAGATACGATGGTGTACTCCATCCAAATGTCCTGGAACAAAACTACTACACAGTAAGTCATTTGATATGATATCTAGCTATGTTTTGTGTCATTAAGAAGTTTCATATTTACTCCAACAGCAGACCAAAATATTTTAGTTTATTTAAAAAAATAAATGCTTAATCAAACTCGTGAACTTTTAACATTATACAAAAGATTCATAGCTGTGTCGCAGTTTTTACAATATCAGCAACTTATTTCACACAAAATTTTAATATTACTGTGAGAGCATTTATGATGGGTATTCACATGACATTTGATGCGGCAATATTGGGTGACCGTTTATGGTATTTGTTTTTTTTCGTTTAACAGACCCAATGTAACCATCACAGCCTGGTTTCACCTATACGTGTTTTTTTTAAATAATTTCAAATCATTTAAGGGTAGGTTGGTAAGTTTGTGTGCCTCACAACTTGAGAATCATGAATTGAACTTTAGAATAAAATATTTATGATACTGCACATTTGTAACGTCGCCATTAATTGTATTATCGTAGCATTTGTATTTATATTCAAGGCTGCTGACAATTTTAAGAAGAAATCTCACCTTTTTCTATAAAAAGGGAAGTTTGCTGTACATGTATTATAAATTTGTTATAAATATTCCTGACAGGTTATATGACCGTATAGCAGCTCGGGTTACATATTTCAAACAACCATTTATATGGGGCCATATAACCTGCCAAAATCTACTAATAACATATACAATATTGCAGGTGGGGAACTCTCTAATGTTGTTAGTTACATGGACAGGATAAAGAATACGTATTGGCCAGATTGGGAATCATTAACAGCAGACAAATAGCGTACAATAACAGCTACCGGAGCAACTGTATTAAAAACTGTTGAGTGGACCAACTGTTGAGATGTATCATAGTTTATGGACTTTTCTGTTTAAATCGTTTAAAAATACACGCACAGTGCATTAACGGGAGTGCAGATATTTGTTACCAGCACGCCAGAGCATGCCAATTGATTGGCTCATTTTTTTCTGGGGTTTACTTTTTGTGACGACAGGGAAAGGAATACGATAGAAATGTCGCTTTCAGATTATCGTTCATTGGTTGCTATTTTCTGCGTTTTATATTGTGACAACTTTGGACGTGTTATAACGAGAAGGGGTATTGAAACACTTGGAATTTTGATTTATACATCCCCTACACCCCCTCGTACAAATCATATAGACTCGTCTTTCGATGTTCTTTCTATTACATATAAAAATTGGTAAATTATTTTGTAATGTTTGTTGTCTAATGTGAACACAAATATTTAAGTGCAGTACAAAACCAGACTGAGTATTTTCGTTTAAATTTTACCGGTTTTCTTTTTCTAAAACTGTTCTAATTAGATTTGAAATTAAGAGAATTTTTTAAGGAGTTACAGGGCATTTATGAATGGATTTTATTGTTAGTCCAATGTTATAGGTCCATATTTTATGACGGAAAATTAGGAGATGTAACAATAGTTTTAGTGTCGCATTCACTTTATGATTTATTTGACTGTATATTCGGATTATAACAGATCTGGATAAATATTAACATACCGATATAACTTTTACTCATGAAGGTTCACATGAATTGACGTTTTCGAGCTATTTAATACCTGCGCCAGTGATGACAGATTGCTGCAGTGATACCAGAAACCTAAAATTTATTGATTACATGTATATGTTTATAAACATTACACAAATAAGGACAACTGTCCATTGACTTAGGATACTATCAGATAATTTTGGTCTTGTTTCCCCATGTTCTTTTTTTATAAAATGAGCGGGTTAAAAATGAAAGCAATGAAATTGACCTTATTTACGTAGTATGAATATACCAACCAAGTTTATAACCTACCTGTTGTAATCAGTAAATCTTA